AATGTTTTTATCAGCCTAATTGGAATGCCATCTGGGCCTGTTGATGTACTACTAGGAACCCTTTTCTCAGCCCTTTCCCACTCTTGTTGTGAAAATGGAGCCATTGCACCACTTGATTCGTCTTTGTCTATTGTGGTGCATAAAGTACTTCTTTGTTGAAATTTTTCTGTCACCCTTGTTCTTATATATTCAATAGCTTCGTCCCCTTCTAGCCTAGCACCTTGGGCTGTAGTTATAAAGTTCTGCTCTAGGCTCGTCTTATCTCTTAGGGAGTTTAGATGGTTCCAAAATTTCGCAGCTGCCTTTCTATCTTTTTTATGTACTTCTGCCAGCCACTGAGCTCCCTTCCTTCTAATCTTTTCATTGATCAGAAGGGATGCATCCCTTCTACAGCTTAGAAAGGTTGCCCATTTCTTTCCACATCATCTGTCGGTTCACCCGCTGCTTAGCATGTCTGTGTTCCCTAGAGGCTTCCTGACGTTTTGCTATGGCTCTCTTGACTTCCTCATCCCACCAACTTTTGGGTTTGTGTCTTCTTTTCCGGGGCGACTTGTCACGCGTCTCAGCAAGCTCTATCTCAAAGAGTCTAATTAGATTCGTGTATGTCCACACTGTCTTATTATCCTCCGTGATTACTTTCTCAATTTGTTTAGTGGCTATTTCAATTTGCCTTTCTGGATAAAAATTTTCCTGTAGTTGCTCATCTTGTCTCCTTCCCACTTTCACTGCTCTTCCAAAACTTAGCTTGATACGTTTGTGATCGCTACCCAGACTTCTGGAGCCACCTTCATCTATGTGCATTTCCCTGAGCTTATCATACATCCTATGTGACATCAGTGCATAATCTATCGTCGACTGAAGCCTTCCTACCTCCCATGTTATTTGCCCTTCACACTTCTCGGTACTGTTGCAAATGATCAAATCAAGCCTTTCACACATATCCATGATCATTTTGCCTGTCGGGTCGGTATACCCATCTATATCTTCTATGTGCGCATTCATGTCTCCTAGTATAATTATCTCGCACTCTCTTCCTAACTCCTGAATGTCCTTTGATATACACTCTACCATTGCCTGGTTTTCCTCTCTGGCCTTTGCTCCCGTCCACAAGTACACGAAACCAAGGAGTGTCATTTGATCTGCCACTTTCCCTTTTAGCCATAAATGTTCCTTGCACTCCTGCTTGACCCTTTGCCAGTCTGTACTTTTATGAATGAATGCCCCAATACCACCCCCTTTTCTGCTGCCTTCTGTTCTATTACAATACTCCCACGCGTAGTCCGGATTGTTCGGAGGTTGTTCCATGTCCCTGAGATGTGTTTTTACAAAACCGTATACCATCGGCCTCTCTTCCCTTAGCTGTTCTTCTATCTCTTCCCACTTCAGCCTGTTCCTACCACCCTGCATGTTAATATACCCTATGTCTGAATTGGCTCGGCGCTCGTGGCTACGTCTATTCATGCCCCGGACTCTATCTTAGATATTGGTGCCACTTTGGAATCGTATCTGTCCATACCACCTGTCGAAGAGTCTCCCTGGTTGTTTTCCTCGTTACTAGCTATCCTGCACCCCGAAGGGCTCGCTTGCCCCCCAAAAAAGCTACTGCGCGTCCTGCAAGTCGCCAACCCACCTCATGACCTAGCCGCCCATCGAAGTGAATTCTGTCTCGTTGAAAACCCCCCCACCTATGCACCTCTCTGTTTATTTCCACCACCTCAAAGCCTTTCTCTCGACTCATCCGCCATATCTCTTTGTTTGCGTTGACCACCGCTCTTTGCAGGTTGCTATCACGCACCGGTACCTCCGGTATCGTGCATATCACTACCTGCACCTTAGGAGAAGTGGCGCGCATGTCATCGACGCCTTTCGCCAGTGTGGCTGCTAGTCCTGCTGCATCTTCATTTAGGACATCGTTTAAACCGCCTGAAATTATCACGAGGTTGCGTCTATCAGCTGTCGTTTTGAGCTTTGCGCTCGCTTGCTTCATGACTGCTTCCAGCTTGCGTCCTGGGAACACCCCTACTGCAACCCTCTTGTCACCTCTTACCCTCTCTTTTATGGCTTCTGTGCACCGATTTAAATTTGAGTCCCCGGCGATTATCACATGCTGTGACTTTTCCGCTGGAGCGTTCTGCACCTAAGGGCTACTTGCACCTGTGACGCCGGCTCTTTTGTTCCCTTCCTGCCCCACCACTACTTCGCTGAAGCTGGGCCTTGCGACAGTTGAACCGGCTAAACCTGTTTTTTCCAAGCTTGCTTGCTTTTCCTTCTCCACAGTTCTGGGTGCCGGTTCCCTACTGTTCTCTCGGTAGGTCGCTTCTTTGTTCAGCTTCGCTAGCACTTCCTCGGCGGACTTCAGTCTTTCTCCCGTTGCCCTCGTTTTTTCTTGCTCTGTCGCCAACGCAGTCTCGAGTTTGGCGATTCTCATCAGCAGTTCACTCTGGGCAACCATCATTTTCTCCATTTTTTCCCTCGACCTCACATTGCCTACACTTCGCGTCAGCCTCTTCTCCATCCGCTTCTACGCTTGGGTCCACTTTCAAACCCACTCCACATCCTGAACACTTTACAGTCTTTTTAACCATGCCTTTTTGACACCAATTGTCCCTATACTCGATAATTACTAAACTCGAGCCCTGCACTACGAAAAAAAAAAGAAAATCCAAGCTCTACTACAAAAATTTGCGTGTTCAATGTACGCGCACCTCCCCAACGGGGTGGCAAAAGAAAAAAAACAACAACAAAAAATTCAAACACACACACCCGCACTAACTAATAAATACTTGGTGACTGGCCCCCGAAAAAGCCGTACCATAAAATAAGTGCTACGAAGATTTCAACCGCTGCCTTATAATTATAAAGACAAGCTCAAAGCATGCAACAACACTTATCTGCGCAGTCGATCCGGAGCGCTCAAAAAACACGTCCATCCACCTTGACAGCCTGAACTGACCTGCATGCACCCGCTGCATGCACCCGCACCGGTGCATGCAGCGCCCCAAGCGGCATTGGCGCACTTTGGGGACCGGTTTCGGCCGCCGCTTTTCACACCTCCCCATTCTAGCCACCCTAGCGTGGGTGTTTTCTTGGCTCGTCGCAACTGTTGCATAGCGCGTCAGTCTGACGCCGCTCACAAGGAACGGAGACGCTGACGATTCCGTGTCAACCGAGAACAACCCAAAAGTGGTTATTGCACGCATGTATATAAGTAAAAGCATAAAGTGAAAGGGTAAGGAAGAATACAATCAAAAGAAGCCTGGCGCATGCACAATGATGATTCGTGCATGACGCCGTAGTTTGATACCGCATTTACAACACTTGAGCCCCATCCTTTTTTTTTCTTTGGTTAGTATGAACAGGAAGTACGTGCACTAGCAATCCTAGCCGTTTACATGAATGTGTTAACGTAATAATACTCCTATTGCTGTGTCATGTATTATAGTGCGAGTTTGCATTGATGTAAATACTTTTAAGTACATATACAGATTCTGGTCAAGAATTGTTACTGATTTATGTGGTGAAAATGCTGTTGAATATGAATTGCTATGTGTACACTTGTTTGTACAAGAGTATTAATTTCGTGTGTACATTGCGCACATTGACTACTGATTGATTGTGATTTTTTTTTTTTGTGCAAGTGTCTGTTGCACTTCTGCATGGGCTTTGATTTGAGCCTGCAGTATTCTGTAATAGAATAAATAAATACTTATTATTTTAGAATACCTTTTTGTAGTCACTTCTTACAAAACAGTGGCATTGACTGGCAAAAATAAATAATTTCTTGAACAGAAAGCCAGTATCTGATGCCATTATTACAATGTCAAGTTACTAAGTGGGGAAAATTTGCAAACAGCTGTAGCTAATTTATGGGCAGGTAAAAATCCCTGATTCTTCCCTGGTTACTTCTGTTCTAAGATTAGCACAGCCTTTGTTCTTAGCCTTTTTCCATTTTGGAGGTTATAACTATTTTTTTCCAGCCTTACAAACCATCATAGCAGTGATGGAAATGGATTAGTAATTAAACCTGCCACATATGTACTAGATTTGATTGCTCCCACCATTACACAATATTTGACAGAGCTATCTTGTGGCATTGAATTTTCAACTAGCTTGCAAGTTGCTAGAGTCACAGTAATTCACAAAGGAGCTCATAAAAACACCTTTACCAACTACAGTCTCAAAACGGCCAGTTTTTTCTAAAAGTCCTGAGAAAGTCATTAATATTTATTTATTTATTTATTTATTTATTTATTTATTTATTTATTTATTTATTTATTTATTTATTTATTTATTTATTTATTCTACCCTCAGGGTACACAGTACATTTCAGAGGGGAAGGGCATGCCCAACAATGAAAAAGAAACAAGGAATACAAAACAAATGGCATAAAAATGTTGTCACTAATTGGGGTAAAAAGATTATTACTCCTAACAACTCACATCATAATAAAGCAAATGATAACACTAATTTTATTTTTGTTACATGATGAAGACACAAAGCAATACAAATAAACTGTTCAAAAAACATACAGGGGGTAATTAGGTAATCATTGTTTTAAGGACATTCTTAAATTGAATGGGTTCATTGATGCTTGTTATTGATGCAGGCAGAGAATTCCATTCATTACAAGTTCTTGGGAGATATGATTGGGCATATGTTACTGTGTTGCAATGGGGGACTGTGACTTTTTGTTGGTGATTTCGACGAAGAGAAATGAAGGGAGCAGCTTGGATTAAACAGGAATGGAATTTCGGATTATGACAGAATATTTTATGAAACAGACAAATGCGAGTGCGCTTTCGGCGGGTAACTAGTGAGATGAGGTTTAGAGATGCCTTCATTTGAGTGACACTAGCTGAACGATGGTAGTTAGCCAAAATGAAACGAGCTGCACGATTTTGAATGGATTCCAACATGTGTGATAATGTTACCTGACCGGAGTCCCAAACAGATGAAGCGTATTCCATTTGAGGACGGACGTATGTGGTATATAGTAATAACTTTAGTGATGATGGAGCAAGAAAGAAGTTTCTTCGAAGGTAACCCAGTGTTTTATTAGCTTTGGACGCTACATGTTCTGTATGTAATTTCCAGGACAAAGTGTTAGTTATGTGGACGCCAAGGTACCGGTAAGATGTAACAGTTTCAAGGGGGCGACTGTGAAGAAAGTAAGTTGGACAAGTTGTACTCGATTGAGAAATCCTCATAGACTTGCATTTTTGAATATTTAGTTCCATTTTCCAAATATGACACCAATGAAGTATGTTATTGATAACAATATTAATATTAATATCCCCATCGACAGCATTAGTATAAATTTTAATTTCATGACTATCATTTGGATTGAGAAAAAAATGGCTGAGCAGAGGATGCACTCTTGCTTCAGGAAGAGATCATACTAGAAAACATGGATATTAACAGTGGGATAATATCACGGCCAGATCTGCAAAGCCTTGAATCTGGTCAACCATGCTATTAAATAAAATGGACCATTATGAATTTCGGGGCATTGCATTACAACTTCTGAACTCTCACCTAGACAAAAGACATTAATGTAGCAAAACAGGCTCATACAAATCACATTTGAGGCGAATTGCTTCTGGTACACAAGGCAGCATGTTAGGCGCTATTCTTTTCCTCTTTTATAAAGATGACTTAATCAATTAAACACCACTTGTCAATTCGTAATTTACACCAATGATTATATTATTTAAAGGCAAGAAATTGCGTAGCATCTAAACTGACCCAAGCACGTTTTTCTGGAAACTGAGTGAATGATGCAGAGTCATCTCCTTACATTGAATGCAGCTAAAATTAGGTGCTTATCAAGCACCTGAAGCAGGGGTACTTGAGAACTTTATCTTTTGTTCATACAATGTCCGCTATAAAAATGTGTTGAAATACTTCGCGTAATCTTAAAGAAGCACATGCCATGGAAAGACCAAGTAGCCATGGTTATGTTGCAACTGTCTAAATGTGTAGAATTGATCAGTCTACGATATAAAAACATTGCTATATATTGCGCTATTTAATTCCCACCTAAGTTGCTGCTTCTTGGTGTGGGGTAAAACTACAGCACTCAATATCTCTAAACTAAGCGTTTTGCAAAAAAAATATGATTGTACCACGGTCTTGAATGCTTTATATCTAGAACATAATTCTTCTCTTCTCAAACATCATAAAATTACAAAAATACCAGACCTATATACTTACAAATAACTGCACGTTTGTACAAGAAAACAGCATTTGGGAAATCGGACGTACCTCCTAGACTCGCATGCTTTATGCTATTAAAAATCGCTAGGAACAAACATAAATTTTATGCCTCACAGAACAAAAAATAAGAGCACTGTTCATGTGATAATTATAATTAGCCTTTTCCAATATTGATGTTTTCAGATGTTTTGAAACTGATAATGTGTTTTTGTATTTTTCATTATATTTATGTTTGATATATCCGTGCATGACAACTTCACATACAATTTCCTTACAATTGTATACAAAAATGTACATGTGCTTGGTTTTCTGCATTGCGTTTTTTTCTTTTCTTAGATCTTTTTTATTGTGTAGTTGCACATGAATGTTAAACGAGTTTAGCTAAATGTGAGCTTGTATAAAGAAATAAAAAGATGAGTGCATGCATGCCTGTAGTGAGTGGGCTTGAATAGGCACCTATGAAGCAACTATTCGTACGGGATTCACTTTGCCCTTTCTTCTAAAGCTGGCAGACCAGCTCTGGGCCATCCGGCAAGCTGAAGATGCCGCCCGGGTCCAAGGACTTCGAGCGGTCACCTGAGGCACAACCATCATAATCGACGGAGAGTGGCAAGGCACACGGGTTGATTGCCCCTTCCCCTACCTTACCCGGTGAAAACTGCCGGACATAAAGTTTATTCATTCATTCATTTCTGAAGTCAAGTGCCATACCCTGTTCCACTGCTGATGGGTTGCTGTGGCTTTGTCGAACTGTCATTTGACAACTTTTTTCTGGCCACCCTTTTTTCACCCTGAAGGTTGTTATTTGTGGTGAAAATAAAAGTCTTTGATTGATTCATTCATTCATTCATTGACTGATTGATAGTGTAGATTATACGAATTTCCTTTTCAGTTGCTACGAAAACAGTACCTCGAAGTGGCCAAAAATGCATGGGACATATAGGGCTTACCCGGTGCCATTAATGTGTCTGGAAGGTGCATCGACTAGGTCTTGCGCTCACATGACGCAGGAGAGCTTTAATAACAAGTTCAGTTGATGCAGGAGTGCTTTGATAATGAGCTCTCAGTTGGCTATATTCAGTCCGTGCTTTTTTCGCTCGGTCATTGTAGCAGCAGCCGAAACCTTCCTTCAAAAGCCGAAAGCAGAAAAGAAAAACCCCAGTGGAGTAGTTGTCCAGTAAGCCCATAAGGTTCTACGCGAGCTTAAAAAGGTAGCTTATAGGTACAATATTGCTTTTGTGTTTTTTGCGCCAAAGAAGCTGTCAGGCCTGTGCTCACATATTTCAAGAGGCCTCAAGGCTACGGTAAGAACTATGCGAGCCCTCATGTCACCTGCGTGGTGGGAGTGGTCTGTGAAATACCGCACACCTGTGAAAGGGCTAGCATCAGCCAAAGCAGCTGATGTGTTGATAATAGAGCGAGAAAATGGTAGTTTTTAATTAACAGTAATCTTTCATCAAACTGGCCTGTGTACTGTAACACACGTAAATGTGGGGCTAAATTTGCCAATACCAGAATTCTTAGTAGAAGCAAGGAAGTACTCCAAAGAGATATTCCACAAGCTTACAATGCAACAATAACATTATGTACTGTGACGGCAAAGAGACCGACATGGAATAGTATGAACTGGCACGTAGCAATATTATATATATATATATCTATATATATATATATATATATATATATATATATATATTGGTGTTACCAATACATCTTGTAACACAATCAGTAGAGTTTTAAAGTTCAAAGCAAGACTGTTAAAGAGGACAATTCACTGATATTTCGGTATTGGTCGTTCTGAGTGAAAATCAGACTTTCCATGAGCGAAAATTCAAGATAGATTCAGATAAAGAAATGAAAAAAATCTTTGGTTCGATTGGGAATTGAATCCAGGTCATTTAAAGCAGGGTAAGCATTTGGGCTAGTTGGCCTACAATTTTAGTTTACCACAGAAGTTGAGTAGCATAGTTGGCTTTCTTTCCTCATCGAGCACAAAGAAAAATACCTGCACAAATCAATATTGGCATTTCATGTCTGTGAATCTTGCTACTGAAAAAAGGTCTGTACGTTTGTAAGTCGTACCACTTAAGTTTGCCAAAATCCAGAAGACTTCACAGCCAACATGGGGCATGTGCATCAGAATCCCACCCAAAGTGGCTACCCTGACTCATTTGTGCAATCTTCAGAACATCAGCTACTACATCCTGACAACTCGTGCCATGAGAAACATACTTCTGTGCTGTATGTTCCTGAGATCAGCAAGCACCTTGGGCCTGTTCTATGCCCCTTTGATGTTCAGATACTGCATGTGCTAACAAACAAGTTGAGGAATCCCTATATGACGAGGGCAAAAGACAAGCTCCCATAGGAAGAATTTCCAGGTGTTCTCTACACCATCTCGTGTGCTGACTGTGGTGGCAGTTACACCAATAAGACAGGCAACTTTCAGAGACTCGAGCAGCATATGTGCAATGCAAGAAAGAAGAAAATTGCATAAAATGCACTGGCTTAACATGCGTAAGTGTGTGGTCAAGAAATAAATGAGAATAAGGCAAGGATAACAGAAAGGGAAAAGAACTGAATGTCTGAGCTTTATTTGAATCTCTAACGATCCACAAAAATGGTACACACACTGAATCATAATGACAGGAACTTTCCACATGTCTATGCACAGTGCCCACATCACATTTTAAAAGATACATAACTGTGCTAAAACTGCTGCTTGGGTGAACTGGTTCATGATTAAGATATGGTATATCTACCAGTGCAAAGAAAGACCGAATACTCAGGAAGGATACATACACACAGCAATATTTTTCCGTGCTGTGTGTGTGTCCCTTTTGAATGTTCTGTCTTTCTTTGCACTGGTAAATCTACCCTATACATAACTGGACTATATGTGCATTCATTTTTCATTTCTGAGGCTAACATGCAAGAGCTGAAAATGCCTTGCTTATATTTGTGGTCGGTGTTTATTTTAACTGTCATGTCTTGTACGTCCTGACCAGACAGGTTTCTGTCATACCCTTGACTCGTCTGCCCTTGAGCTCACAAAACCATTACGTGAGCATAGCATCACAGAACTGAGGAACAGTGATGAGGCAATTATAGTTGCATAAAGAAACTTTGATCACCTTAGAAGACACACTGACAGCAACACCGGTGCTTGCCTGCTGCAAACTTCACAGTGCCTGTAGATGCATGATCTCACAGACACAACATGTGCACAAGAGAAGGATGCACTGGCAATCACATGGGCCCGCAAACATTACCACTCCTATCAGCTAGGATTGCTCTTTCACGTGGAAACAGATCATGAGCTGCCATTAGTGCTGCTGTAATCAAGCCACCTGCATGAACTTGGTCTGTGTCTGCAACATTTTTAATTGGTTGTAGTTTGACTACACCACTGTGCACAACCCTAGCAAGGGCTCTCAACAGAACTACAGAAAGAGACGCACAGCCCACAACTGAGGACACTTTTGGCGCAAATACAATGAGGTCGCATAACACCTGCGCTGTGTGTCCTTGTTCTATTTATGCCAAAGGCATCTATATTGATAACCCACTAACAACTACCTCAAACCATAATTCGGCCAGAAGGAGCCCAAAAAAGGTCCACAATGAAACTGCTTCCCAGGTCACGCTATACTAGACAAAGGCAGCTCTAAAGAATGGTCCAGTCTAAGCAAGGGTGAAACACTACTGTACGACAGCGTGGCCCAGACAAGTCATCCAGATATGCTCAGGATTGGCCCTTAGATTGACAATGGTGGATCGCATTAAACTAAAAGACAGCACATCAAACTTACATTCAAAGTGAGCCACTCATGCAGTCCCAAGGCCAGGCGTGAACCAACACTTAGGAAGCCTGCCAAGAGTGCCAAAACCACATCCCGAGCCCTTCCTAAGCACCTATGGGAGCAGGGTTTGATCTTGACGCCTTGGTATACTCTTTGGCTACTTTGAACTTCTATGTAAATGTGAACAATGAGATGTGTTAATGGTATTGCGTCATCAGAAAAGGTAGGTGTAGAGAAGATGACGGACAAAAACTGATCTGTGTATTTGTTTCTCTTTTCGTCTGTCATCTTCTTTGCACCCACTTTTTCGAATCTTGAAATTATACTTTGGCACATTTAGTAGCCACTTTCAGTTATTTTATTTCATTTTATTTACCCTCAGGGCCATATGGCATTATAGAGGGGCAGTGGAAATAAAGTTTACAAGGAAAAGAAAAATACATCATGAGAATATACAGCATAGAAAATACATATTATACAGCAGAATGTACAGCAGAGAAAATACAGCATGAGAATAAATAATGCAACAAACATATAAATAAAAAAAGTAAAGAAAAAGAAAAGAAAAACTTCTGATTATACAATAGTAGCTGTGCAACGACGTTGAACATAATACAATTTTGAGTAACGGTTAGCTCATACAATACTGAGTAATGTTTGACGGAAAATATTGTTATTAGTAATAGTGACGATGTCTTCGGCAAGGTGGTTCCAATCTACTGATGTATGAGGTATAAATGATCAATAAAACACTGGGAGTTTCAGGATGCGATTCCAACCTTATGGCGATGGTTGATGCGGTGGAATATGTACTGAGGATTGAGGATTAATTGGGTATGTAAGGTGGCGTGATGGAATAATTTGTGAAATGTACTCAAACGAGATATTTTCCAACGGGATGCAAGGGAAGGAAGGCCTAGGCTGGATTTCACTGAACTGATACTGGCGATGCGATTGTAGTTAGAAAGTATGAAATGGGCGGAGTTATTCTGTACGCGCTCAAGTGAAGTAACCAGGTTATCGTGGTAAGGATCCCACACTGATGATGCATATTCGAGTTTGGAACGTATTAATGTTTTGTACAACAGAAGCTTTAGTGCAGAAGGTGCTTTTGCAAAGTTACGACCTGTGTAGCCTAACATGCGATTAGCATTATTAGTAATGTATGCGATGTGGGGTGCCCAAGATAAGTTAGATGTGATAAGAATGCCCAGGTATTTATACGAGGAGACAGGATCAAGCGGGACGTTGCTTAAGTAGCATTTTGGTGGGGTGTTAGCAGATTTAGTTACCCGCATTACCTTACATTTAGCAATGTTTAAGTCCACCTGTCATGTGCTGCACCAAGCTGCTACTGTGTTAAGCCCAAACTCCATACGCGCGAAAATGCACGCGACAGCGACGAGCGACGCTATGAGCGACGAAACAGGGCGTTCGCGCGACGTGTCGCGTGCTCGTTTTCGCGCGATCGCTCGGTTCTCCAGATTTGGAAACCGTCGCTCATCGCCCGGAAGTGCTGGGCTCAAGCAGCCAATAGCGAAAAACCGGAAAAGACGAAGACTACATAGGTGCACGTGACCCTGCCCGAGTCACGTATGCGCAACAAGAAATAACGCAATGTTTATTACGCATGCGCATATAAAAAATGCTGCAAGGCAATAATAAACACTTTCCGTTCCATTACACAACAATATATCTTATTTTTAAATTGGAAACCGCTCGCTACGCGGTTTTCTTGGTGCGAGTTGACGGCCTCATGCCACCAACAGTGGAATTCGCTCGCCGAAGCCGTCGCGTGAATGGAGTTTGCCTGCGCGAGCGACTGATCGCGCGACGCCGATCTACGTCGCGTCGCTCGTCGCTGTCGCGTGCATTTTCGCGCTTATGGAGTTTGGGCTTCAAGGTCAGATTGGAGGCTTAAACTGTCATTATTACTGGTTATTTCACAAAAAATGACGCAGTCATCTGCAAAAAGAGGAATCTTAGAAGAAAGTGAAGACGTGAGGTGATTAATTTAAATTGGAAACAAAAGTGG